TATGTTGTTGTTGTTAAGTGATGTACAGTCAGTTCCAACTCATAGCGACCCTGTGTAAGGTTTCTGAGGAGCGGCTGTTGAGTTTGAATTGCCAACCTTGCAGCTCAAATGGACCTTGTGATCTAGTGTTTATCCTGCAGGGCCACACCAAGACTATAAACAATTTGTATAGAAATTGCCAAATGGGAATCTCATTTTCTTTACAAACTTAAAACAAATAACATTTTATTAAAAAAATAAATAAATAAATTAGCTCAACCTACGCCTATGGAAGCAGTAGCTCAAAAGAGGGAACAAGTCCTTACATCAAGAATCATTCCCACCCCCTTCACATACAGAGCAGACAGGGATGGGCAACTTGGACATTGGATATCCAAATGGGGGGTGGGGGGCTACAAAGGTAAGAAGTGACTGGCTTACAAGCTTTCAAGAGGGAACCTAGATCCAGAGGGCCTGGAGGAAGGTAAAATCTCCAGTGGGTAGTATTCAATCTGACTAGGCGGGGCTGATGCAATGAAATGCAGAGGGGTCTCTTGTGATACAATATTGAATAATTGTTATCAGGACTGATTGTGAGGGTCGGAAATGTAAAGGTAGATGTTTTGTAGCAAGGAGGGGAGTGATTAACTTTTCAGTCTAGGAGCGAGGTCCCTAGGACCATCTAAAGGAGAAGTGCAGAGAGCGGGACCCTACCCAGAGAAGCAGTGATGCCTGAAATGGAGCCAGAGATGATGACGTGGAGCAATGGAGCAGCTGGAGATTTTAGATCCAGAGAGGGAGAGCGACTGTGTGCTGAAGACCTGGGGAGCATGGGGGAAGGATTGCATGGAGGGGATTGTAAGCATGGCAATGAGATGATATACGATAGAATGAATGTAAAACTAATGTTCTCCCATGTAAACTATCACATAATTCACAGTAAAACATTTAAGGAAAAAAAAAGCCCAGGCACAGGAGAAGCAAGCACAAATGGAGAAAGATTGAAGTCACATGGAGTTCGTTAGTGGATCAAGGAATAGAAGTTGAAAGAGACAAGTACCCTCCCTCCAGAGAGTCTTGCCCGAGTGTCATCACACAGAACTCAGACTTCTAGCCTACTCACCTGTGAGAAAATAAAATTCTGTTTGTTAAAGCCAACACTTGTGGTATTTCTGTTAGAGCAGCACTAAGAAGTTATAATAGAAAGTTTTAATCTTGGTCCTATAAAAGAGCCAAACCAATGAAATACATCTATAAATATATGAGGGCACTTGCAGAAACATGGAAGTAAAGCTAGTAGATTTTTTCCATAAACATTTTGAAGTCCCCTCATGTTTCCATGAGTTATATTAAAGTGTTTCCCAGTTTATCTTCTCTTAGAAATTTAACTAAGGTATTAAGTTAACTAAGGTTTAAATAAGGTATGTAATGCTATTTCTTAGAAATATTCCTACATGTACTGAACAAAGATGTGTGAGCAAGGATGTTTACTGAGGCATTGTTTTTTTCCTTTTTAAAACTTTTTATTGTGAATTGAGAGAAGATTCATAGAGCAGACCATTTCAGTTTTATATTCATCAACTCATATACTTACTTTCTTTTCAAGGATTACAGTCACCACCAGGTAACACCAGTTATCCCACTTCCTCTCTGTGGTTCTTGTTTCCATTCCACTCTCATTTCAAACCATTCTGAATTTTAAGTAAATGCTGCCCTTTTGATCCTAAATGATTGACCATTCCATGATGTGCATACTTCATAGTGTTGTTCCTACTGTATACCTATCTATTGCTGGTTTGAAAATTGAGCCGCGAAGGTGAGTTCAGTTCTAGATCTGAAGGGTAACCAAATATCTTAGTCTCTCGGGTTCCTACAATCTCTTTCTGACCAGTAAGATAGTCTTTTAATTGTAATTTTGAGTTTTGTTCCATATTTTCTCTGAAAACTATAGGATAAGCACCAGAGTGCTAACTGCAAGGTTGCTGATTCAAACCCATCATCCACTCCTCAGAAACCTATACAGTACGAGATGAAACTCACTCTGTGCCATTTAACAATAATAACAACTATTCAGGACCTTCTAATTTGATCCTTTTCAGAGCAGTTACTGAGGCATTATGTGTAATTTAAAAATGGAAACAAACTAAATGCTCATCAATAGAGTATTAGATAAATACATTTGTGTATGCATACTTCATGGAAATTTGGGCATATATAATTTATGGACTCCTGGTGTAGCAATGTAGGATCAGCACTGGACTGGGAGTCACAAGATTGGAAGTTCAAACTCACCAAATGCTCTTTGGAAATCCTATATGGGATTACTATGAGTCAGAACTAGCTCAATGGAATTTAGTAACAACAACAGCATGGAAATTTGGGCATATATATTCTGTGGGATATTATGTAGCTATGAAAGAAATATAGTTCTATATGTACTAACATGGTCTCCATGTTATTGATAAGTCTTCAAGACATAGAGATAAGAGAAAAAACAACAAATAATATACATATAAAACCCTGTTGCCATTGAGTCAATCGTGAGTAACCACTAGAACAGAAGGAAGAAGTCCAAGGTGCACTGAAGGCATTTGTCAAGTAAAAGGCTAGGAATTGATGGAATACAAATTGAAATCTTTTCACCAACTGATGCAGCTCTGGAGGCACTCACTCATCTATGCCAAGAAATTTGGAAGACATCTACCTGGTCAACTGATTCGAAGAGATCCATATTTGTGTCCATTTAAAAGACAGTTTACCCAATTAAATGTGGAAATCATTGCACAATATCACTAAGGTTACATGCAAGTAAAATCTTGCTAAAAGTAATTTAAAAATAATTGCAACAGTACATTGAAAGAGAACTTGCAGAGGTTCAAGCCAGATTCAGACCAGGACATGAAACAAGGGGGTGGATCATTACTGAATGCAGATAATACTAGAACGATGTTTATCTGAGCTTAATTGACTACACAAAATCTGTTGGATCATGAAAATGTTTCAATGAATGAGTATCCTGGAACACTTAATTGTGTTCATGAGGAACCTATATAAAGATCAAGAGGCAGTTGTTCGAACACAAGGGGACACTGAATGTTTTAAAATCAGGAAAGGTGTGCATCAGGGTTGTATTATTTCACTATACTTATTCAATCTGTATGTTGAACAAAAAATATGAGAAGCTGGATTATATGAAGAAGACTGGGGCATCAGGATTGGAGGAAGAGTCATTAACAACCTGCAATATGCAGATGATACAATCTTGCTTGCTGAAAGTGAAAAGGATTTAAAATACTTACTGTGAAGATAAAAGAAAACAGCCTTTGGTATGGGTTGCACCTCAATCTAAAAAAAAAAAAAATCCTCATCACTGGACCAATAAATAACATCATGAATGGAGAAAAGATTGAAGTAGTCACAGTCTTCATTTTGCTTGGAAACAACAATCAAGAAGCCAAACCATGCATTGCTGTTCAAGAGCAAAGATGAAGACTAAGGTGCTCCTGACTCAAGCCATGGTATTTTCAATAGCCTCATATGCATACAAAAGTTGGACAATGAGTAAAGAAGGCCATAGAAAAATTGATGTATTTGCATTATGATGCTGGAGAAGAATATTAATGGTACCATGGACTGCCTGAAGAGCAAACAAATATGTTTTAGAAGAGAAACAGAATGTTTTTTAGAGGCCAAGGTGGTGAGACTTCCTCTCTCATACTTAAGACATATTATCAGGAGGGACCAGTGTCTGGAGAAGAACATCATGCTTAATAAAGTGGAGGGTCAGAGAAAAAGAGTGGGACCCCAATGAGATGGATTGGCACAGTGGCAGCAGCAATGAACTTAAGCACGGTAACAATTGTGAGGTTGGTACAGGACTGGGCAATGTTTTGTTTTGTTGTGCCTAAGGTCACTATGAGTGGGTACCACATCAGCAGCATCTAACAGCAACAGCAAAAGGATGGAGTAGAAGTACACCTTAGGTTTCCAAGAAGTCCTGGTATGGCATTGTCCATCCCAAGATCAACACTTGACTGTAAGGCTGGTTTGAACTACAAGGTTGGCAGTTGAAACTCACCAGTCACTCCTAGGTAATCCTATACAAAGTTGCTAAGAATCAGAACTGACGCCACATTTAACAACAATCTTTATGGAAGCAGGCTGCCACATCTTTCTCTTGCAGAGCAGCTGGTGGGTTTAAACTGAGGACCTTTCAGACAGAAGCTGAGTATTTATTCATTCACCACCAGAGTGTCTTAATATTAATGTAAATATAAATGATATGTTGTTGTTGGAGTTGCTTCTGACTCATAGCAACCCTGTATAGGGTTTCTAAGGCTTTAAATCTTTGCGGGAGCAGAAAGAGTCATCTTTCTCTTGTAGAAGGCTGGTAGACTTGAACTGCTGACTTTATATCTGCAGGCTTCTAGGGAGCTGGACTTCCCATAAATTATTCAATAAAATATAACTATGTACTTTAAGCTGCATGTATGTCTACCTAAGATTCCAAGCAAAGAGATAAAGCTCTGGAAGAATTCATGTTAAACTTGTACTTTGCTTGTATATGAATCTGTATTTTTAAAATAAAACTATGATTCATAGATTTCAAAGAAATCCACAAACCAAAAAGTTAATATCTACTGGATTAAGTAAACATGACAACTATTATACAAGAACTGGAGACTGGTGTTTTGTTTATTTTTTCTGTTAAAAAAACTACTATCTTTAGATATTTGAATTCATGCAGCATTCAATATGATTAATTCACATGCCTGTCAGTTAACCAATAATTATACAACTCAAGGGAGTTCTTGGAGTCAACAACAGTGGCTCTGTAGGATTAGTACTGGATAGTGAATTGCAAGTTTGGCATTGCAACCAGCCAGCTGCTCCATGAGAGAAAGATCAGACTTTCTCTTTCCACAAATACAACAGCCTCGGAAACCTCATATAGGGGAGCTGTGAGTCAGAACTGACTGATAGCACTAACAAAAGTAACATCCTTTTTTCTTGCTTTCCAGGAATAAGGAGAGTGAGTAGGAAACTGGGTTGTCTGGCAAAACCCATTGTGACCATCAGTATAAATGAAGATGTGATCACTATACAAACCAAAAGCATCTTTAAAAATAGGGAGATCTCCTTTAAACTGGGAGAAGAATTTGAGGAAACCACACCAGATGGCCATAAAAGCAAGGTGAGGCATACAATCTTTTACACAGATTTTATGAGAATGTTAATTGGAAATCATACTAAATAAGAATGCACTGTTACAGAAAGCCTATCTAAAGTCTTCATTAGATAAATTTTTGTCTAAAACATAGGCCCCAGTATCTCAAACTTGGATATATATGTAAATTTTTTGAGATCCTTGTGAAAAATACCTGCCTGTTGGTCCGTCCTCAAAGGTTCTGACATCTAGAATTGTTGTTAAGTGCCATCAAGTATATTCCAACTCGTTGTTGTTGTTGTTAGGTGCCATTGAGTCAGTTCCCACTCTTGTACAACAGAGCAAAACACTACTCAGTCCTGTGCCATCTTCATTATCATTGTTATGCTTGAGCCCATAGCTGCTGCCACTGTGCCAATCCATCTCGTTGGGGCTCTTACTCTTTTTGCTGATCACTTCACTTTACCAAACATGATATCCTTTTCTAGGGACTGGCCCCTCCTGATAACATGTCTGATGTATGACAGATGAAGAAATCTCATCATTCTAGCCTGTAAGGAGCATTATGGTTGCATTTCTTCCAGCACAGATTTGTTTGTTGTTCTGGCAGTCCACGGTATTTTTAATATTCTTCCCCAACACCATAACTCAAATGCATTGATTCTTATACTGTCTGCCGTATTCATTGTCCAACTTTTAGATGCATCTGAGGTTATTGAAAATACCACAGCTTGGGTAAGGTGCACCCTAGTCCTCAAACTGACATCTTTGCTCTTAAACACTTTCTTGAGCAGCAGATTTGCCTAATACAATATGTGGTTTGGTTTCTTGATAGCTGATTCCATAAGTGTTGACAGTGGTACCCAACAAATGAAGTCTTTGACAACCTCAATCTTTTCTCCATTTATTTTGATGTTATTTATTGGTCCATTGGTGAGGATTTTGGTTTTCTTTACATTGAGGTGCAGCCATCCTGAAGGATGTGGTTTTTGATCTTCATCAGTATTTTAAGTCCTTTTCACTTTCAGCAAGCAAGGTTGTATCATCTGCATATCATACATTGTTAATGAGTCTTCCTTCAGGACTGATGCCACCTTCTTCTTCACTAATCCATCTTTTTGGGTTATTTGTTTATCATGCAGTTTGAATAAATATGATGAAAAAATGCAACCCTGGCGCACACCTTTCCTGATTTTAAATGATTCAGTGTTCCATTGTTCTGTTTGAACAGCTGCTTCTTGGTCTACTATATACAGGTTCCTCATGAGCATAATTAAGTGTTCTGGAATACTTATTCTCTACAATGTTGTCCATAGTGTGCCATGATCTACACAGTTGAAAGCCTTTGTATGGTCAATAAAGTACGTCTTTCTGGTATTCTTTGCTTTCAGTCAAGCTCCATTTGATGTCAGCGATGACATCCCTAGTCCCATGTCCTTTTCTGAATCTGTCTTGAACCTCTGGTAGTTCCCTGTCAATGTACTGTGCAGTCATTTTTGAAAAAATTTAGTAGCACATGCTATTTATGATATTGTCTGATGACTTCCATACTCCATTGGGTCATCTCTCTTTGGAATGAGCACAAATCTGATCTCTTCCAATCAGCTGGCCAGGAAGCTGTCTTCCAAATTTCTTGGCATAGATGAGTGAGTGCCTCCACTGCCACATCAGTTTGTTGAAAGATTCCAATTTGTATTCCCTCAATTTCCAGATCCTTGTTCTTTGTCTACCTTGTTTGTCCACACCCTCCCCCTTTTTGTGTATTGCTCTCCCCAACACCTGAACTGTGATTGTCTCCCCCCTACCCCTGTGTTCTCCTTCCAACTTCTTTTGATGCTTTCTGAATCATTAAATATTTTAGCCATAGAATCTTTCAATAACACAAGTTTGAGGCTTGAATTTTTTCTTTAGTCCTTTCAGTTTGAGAAATTCTGAGCGTGTTCTTCCTCTTTGGTTTTCTAACTTATACTCTTTGCTCATTTCGTCATAATACTTGACTTTGTCTTCTCAAGCTGCTCTGTAATTTTCTGTTCAGTTCTTCTACTTCCTCATTTTTTTCCATTTACTTTACCATCTCTTTGCTGGAGAATGAGTTACAGAGTCTCTCCTGAAATCCATTTTGGTCTTTTCCTTCTTTCTTGTCTTCTTAATGACCTTTTGCTTTCCTCCTGTATGGTGTTCTTCCTCTTCTTTTTTTTTTTTAAACATCAAGATTTTGTTTTAATAATAAAACAAGATGATGCTTAAAACTGGATCACCTGGCCCTATCTCTTCTTATCTCCTCCCAGTTCAAAAATGCTTGCACCTTATAAGCTAACACATTCAAGCCTCAACACAATCTTTGTAGTTTTAGCCTTCTTCCGGAAAATTGGCTTAGTCTACCCACCATATCCACTGTGTTTCCTGTCATAATGTCTCTTTCCCTGGGCGTACAGAGAATCTTTGCCCTTCTTGTAATATGTCCGTTTGTGGGGTTGGAGCTTGTCACACTTCTTACAAAAAGTCCGGCGGGTTTTAGGCCCATTCACCATGTTTGCAGGAGTGCTACCGGCACGAAAAAAAGCCTGTATGATGTTCTTGATGGCATCCCGGAACTCTTCTGGTCTTTGGTTATTAGCATTTAATGTATGAAATATGTTCTTGAGATGATCTCTAAACTCATGTGTATATGTTCAACGTCATATTTTGGCTCTTGTGGACTCTAATATATTTTCTGCAGCTTCAGCCAGAACTTGCATACGAGCAATTGATGGTCTGTTCACAGTCTGCACTTGGCTTCTTTCCACAGATGGAGTCAATTTGATTTCTGTGTATTCCATCTGGCATGTATATTGGAATCCTTTATGTTGTTTATAAAAGTATTTGCAATGAATAATTCATTGGTCTTGCAAAATTCTATCATGTGATCTCTAGCATCATTTCTATTATCATGGTCATATTTTCCAACTACTTTTCCCCTTTGCATTCCAATCACCAGTAATTATCAATACATCTTAATTGCATGTTCAATCAATTTCAGACTGTAGGAGTTGGTTGTTGTTTTTGTTGTTAAGTGCTCCTGAGTAGGTTTGGACTCATAGTGACCCTGTAGTGTGTTTCTATAGAGTGGCTGGTGAGGTTGAACCTCCGGCCTTGCAAAGAAACTGGTAGAATTCTTCAATTTCATCCCTGACTTTCTTGTTTTGTGTGTAAATTTGAATAACAGTGATATTAACTGGTCTTCTTTTTAACTGTATGGCTATTAGCCTATCACAAACAGCATTCTACCTCAAGACAGATCTTGAAATGTTATTTTTGCTGATGAATGTGACATCATTCCTCCTCTACTAGTCATTTCCAGCATAGTAAACCATCTAATTGTCAGATTCAAATGTCCAGTGTCAGTCAATTTCAGCTCACTAATGCGTAGGATATTAATATTTATATATTCAATTTCATTTTTGACAACTTCCAATTTTCCTAGATTCATACTTTGTACATTCCATGTTCTGATTATTAATGGCTGTTTACAGCTGTTTCTCCTCGTTTTGAGTTGTGCCTCATCAGCAAATGAAGGTCCCAGACGCTTTACTCCATTTATGTCATCACTGTCAAGTCTACTTTGAGGAAGAAGCTCTTTTCCAGTCATATTTTGAGTGCTTTCCAACTGGAGGGGCTCATTTTTTGACAGTATTCTGGTGCTATTTGTAATGTTTGAATATTCTATATTCTGATGCTATCTGACAGTGCTCCAAAGCTATTCATAAGGTTTTTAGTGGCTGAATATTTTAGAAGTAGTCCACCTCTCCTCATTCTTAGTCTGGAAGCTCAGCTGAAACCTGTCTACCAGTGCATAGTGATCCTATATACAGATTTGAAAGAGTGATGGGATTGAAATACCAACCTTGTAGTTAGCAGTACAGTGCATAGGGGCCTATAAATTGCATTTTTAGCAATGATTCTGATATAGACAATCAGCCAATCACATTTTGAGAATTATTTCCTTAGATTCTGACCCATAGCGACACTGTATAGGGTTTCCAAGGAGCAGCTGGTGAGCTTGAACCACTGATCTTGCAGTTCAAAAGACTTTGCAGTCTGATACATTGACCCACAGTGCCACACCAGGACTCCTTATTTTCCTAAAGTAGCATTTAATTCTCTCAGACACAAAAGTTCTCACTTTCTATTTTGTGACTAGCATAGTCTATGTTATTTCATTGCCACAAATTAACCACAAACTCTCTGTTTCCTAAAAATGATAACTTATAAACATTTTCTAATTTTTCTTATTTTTCCTGCTTCTGGTGGCTGCCAGCATTCCTTGGCTTTTGGTTACAATACTTCAATCTCTGCTTCCATGAAGCAAATCGAATTTATTTCTAATTCCTAAGATAAGCACTGAACTGCTAACTGAAAGGTTTGTGTTTCAAACCTACCAGCTACTCTGTGGGAGAAAGATGAGCCTTTCTGTTTCTGTGAAGATTCACAGTATTGGAGACCATATTGCTTTTGTTTTGTTTTTAAGTGTCATCGAGTCAGTTCTGACTTATAGCAACACAGTACAGGGTTTCTGAGGAGTAGCTGGTGGTTTTGAACCACTGAACCTGTGGTTAGTAGTCCATTGCTTATCCTAAGCATCATACCAGGACTCCTGAAGACCATATATAGTGTCTCTATGAGTCAGAATGGACTTTAGATGGTAGTGAGGTTAGTTTTTCTTAGATTATGTGTTTGGATTCCATATGTAACTCTTATATAGACTTGGAAGACAGGCTATTATAACTTCTGAAGAATTGGCTATTGTAAACCTCATGGAACACAGTTATGTGATCACCATGAACTGGATGAAAATCAGAGTATGTATTTAATGCTAAAGTGGGGCTGAGAAACTTGTGTATGGGGAGGAATAGGCAATCCACCCCACTTAACCTCTTTGGAAGTCAGGCTAAAGGAGATTCAACTACTATACTGTTGTTATTGTTAAGCCCTGTTAATTCAGTTCCAACTCATAGCCACTCTGTATAGGGTTTTTGAGGAGCAGTTGGTGTGCTTGAACAGCCGACCTTGAGGTTCAAATCGACTTTGTAGTCAAGTGCATTAACCCACTGCATCACACCAGAGATTCCTACATCTGTGTCTTCAAAACCTTGTGGTTGGTCTTCTAAACCAACAAGACAAGGAAGCTTTTCATTGCCTCACCCTGGAAGTGACACATGTAATTTTTATTCACATCTTCTGGGCTCCAACTCATGGTAATTAGGCTGGAGAATATAAGGACAGATGGAACATTTGGTGATTACGTTTGTCTCTGCCACAGAACAAGTCTGTGCTATATAGTGGGGAAGACAAGGACTCTGGCACAGGACTGCATGTCTATGAATGTATATCTATGCCAACAACCAATCTGTGATCATGGGCAAGTCACAAGATTTTGCTGGTCCAGTGTTTTCATTTACAAAGGGTGATGATGACAATATTTTCCTCATGTTATGTTAAGGAAGCCTGGTGGTGTAATGGTTGAAGAGCTTGGCTGCTAACTGCGAGAGTAGCCGCTAGTACAAACTCACTAGCAGTTCTGTGGGAGAAAGACTCGGCAATCTAGTCCTGTAAATAGCACAGTTTCGGAAGCCCTATGGGGTAGTTCTGCTCTGCCCTGTAGGATCACTATGAGTGTGAATAGAAAAACCAAAAATGAAAACAAGCAACATTTAGCCATTTAGCACTTAAATGTAACAATCAGAGCTGAATTTGGTGTTTTCTTGTTTTCCTGCAGAGTACAGTAACTTTAGAAAACGACTCCTTGATGCAGGTTCAAGACTGGAATGGCAAGGAGACCACGGTAACCAGAAAGCTGGTGGATGGGAAAATGGTGGTGGTGAGTGATCTGTTTCTATTTTCTTACCTACTGCAGCACGGATATTCTAACTTGCTCAAAAATTTTGTTCTAAAACAAATGAAAGTAAATATTATTTTTCTTTATTGTTGGTTTATAAGAATGGAGGGAAAACACTGACAAATAAATACATAATCACAAATATTTGTTGTTGTTGTTAAGTGCTATTGGATCATCTCTAACCTATAATGACCGAATACAGGGTTTCCGAGGAGCAGCTGTTGCGGTCCAGCGCAGTGTCACACTTTGTTGTTGTTGTTAAGTGCTGTTGAGTCGGTTTCGACCCATAGTGATCCTGTATAGGGTTTTAGAGAAGCAACTGGTAAGATTGAACCACCAATCTTGCAGTGCAAATGGCCTTGCAATCTGGCACATTAACCCACAGTGCCTCACCAGGACTTTGCAGTATTACACTAGGACTCCCATAAATATTATAAAATGCTATTAAAGTGCTTGGGGAACTAAAAAACCTGAAAACTATAAAAAAATGCTGTAACTCAATTCTTAGACTCATGTATAAGTCACAATAAGTATGTATTAGTGCAATAAAGATTTCAACAGGGATTAAGAGCTACTGTCAATCCTGTCAATCGGTTATGTAACTAACAGAAACAACACAGTTGTTTCTATAGATATAGTTTCAAACATTTTAAGTAATGTATGAGATGCTTCTAAAAGTTTTTGAAAAAAAAGAATGAAAAGATAATAGAAAATTTCCCTGAACTTTTCAAAGTAGTTTACAAGAAGCCCTGGTAGCATTGTAGTAAAGTGCTTGGCTGCTAACTGAACGTTTAATGATTCAAACCCACCAGCAGCTCTGCAGGAGAAAGATCTGTCAATTTTCTGAAGACCACAGCCCTAAAAATTCTAAGGGCTGTTCTACTCTGCACTATAGGCACACTCGGACTTGCAGTTTATCTGATGGCACACAATAACGTATTACTGCCGTTATTAGGTGCCTGCCTTAGTTCTCTAGTGCTGCTATAACAGATATAGCACAAATGGATGACTTAAACAAACAAGAAATTATCCTCTCACAATTTATCAAAGTAGAAGTCTAAATTCAGAGCACCAACTCAAGGGAGAGGCTTTCTCTGTCTCTCAACTCTGGAGGAAGTCCTTGGTTCCTTTAAAATTCTAGGGGTCTGGTGTCCCTTGCAAAGCAATATGTGTCTCGGCATCAGTCTTCCCCTGGGTCTAGGAGGTTCTCAGTAGAAGGATCCCATGTTCAAAGGATGTATTTTGCTTCTAGTTCTTTCTTGGTGGTACTGAGGTCCCTCCTTCTCTATTTGCTTCTCTCTCTTTTTTTTGTTGTAAGTTAAAAGATTATGCAGGCTTTACCTCAGGGAAACTCCACTCATTTTGGGTCAGAGCTATGACCTAAGTAAGGGTGTGCATCCTATTCCAATCCCCATACACTTTATAGGTTTATTACATCATCACATCAATCAAATAATGGAGGATGACCAAATTATTACATAACTGCCAAGTCACTAACAATTATGACTCAGTTATATTGTCAGATACTTTGGGGGTATACAGTTTAATATATGACATTCTACCCTTTGGTAGAATGGGAGCAAAATGCATTTCTTTGCCACATGAAAAATAAATTCTCCCCTTCATATCATCCCCAAAGTAAAAAATTATCTCCAAGTCCAAATTCCTTTCTGAGACAAAAATCCTCCTCATCTGTGAATTTGGACTACAACTTATCTGCTTCTAACCTACAATTATAAATAGGAGAAATTGGAGGAAAAGAAGTGTTAACAGACACCACACAAGTAAAAAAAAACCTAGCAGAACAATTTACATTAGTTCTCAAGATTTGAAAATAATCTTCTGTTCTCTGAAAACTTTGAAGTAATAGTACTTCCCTCTAGACTGTGGGTGTTGGTCACACTCTCTGGATTCTAGGTGGAGGACCCTCAGTCCTGGACATCTGCTCCACTTTCTAGGCACACTGAGATGGTAACTCTACTTCCTCTGCTTTGGGAAGCCTCATTCTCCTAATTCAGTTGAGTGGCTACCCCACCTCCTTGGCCCCATTCTTTGACCTCTTGGACATGGAAGCTCTGCCTCCGTCAGCTTAAGGGCTGTAAATTTGACCCCATCCCCCATGGCAGCCACACATTCTGGACCCATCCTCTTAGCTCCAGTAGATCACGGTTCCACCTTTTGAGACCCTTTGAGGTGGCACTGTTTGTCATTCTCTGTGACTCTTCAGCTGTCTGGTTCTTTGGCTCCTCGGGCCTCTTGAGTCGATCCATCCTATGCCTTGCTCAGGAAAACATTACGAAGGTCTTTAGCTCTACCAAAAAGTGCCCATAAGACACCGTCTGAAGGCACTCAGCTCATTTGTCCTGTGTGGTCTTCCTCAGGTCTCGCAAATCTGCGGCTACTATTTCTCTGCCATGGCTTCTTGCTGTCTGCACTGTTTCCACTATTAGTCTTCCTCGCTGCGTTCTGAGCCCTCACTAAAATTGCCGTTGTCATCCACAATTCCACCTCAAGAAAGCCTCAGCTTTTATTGTTGTTGTTATTGTTGGTGGTGGTTATGTGCCGTGGAGTTCGTTCCAACTCATAGCGACCCTGTATAGGTGTACAGGGTTGTAAATCTTCAGTGGAGCAGAAAGCCTCATCTTTCTCCCGTGGAAGAGCTC